TGTGACGAACTGGGTCTGTTCTTACTGTGGTCTGTGAATGCTGACAGGGGAGTGTGGCTGGGATAGCCGGCATTGGGGGATGGGAGACTGACTGGAAATACCTGAGCCTGTAACATGAGAACCCAGGAGGGGGCTGGGACCAGGTGACACCTTTGCCCAGAGACTGAACAAAGGCGGTGGGTGGGGTCGCTGAAACCAGAGTCTCGGGGGCTGGCTAGTGACTAGGGCTTGGGGCAGACAGGGCTCTGATCCCCTAAGGGGGCTAGGGTGCCCAGGGACCCCAAGATGGACCTAACTGAGGGGGTCCTGTTATCTGTGCCTGCGAGGCCTGTCTTGGACTGTATTCCTGTCATCTAAATAAACCTTCTGCTTTACTGGCTGGCTGAGAGTCATGGTGAATCGCAGGAAGCTGGGGGTGCAGGGCCCTGAGTCCCCCCATACTCCGTGACACGCGGGTGTGTTATTTTGGGCACACGGAGCAGGAGGCAGAGAGGGAAATTGTCAGGTGGGGGGAAGAGGACTGGAGACGCCCCAGCTGGAGGCTCCTACCCTGTGTTGGGCTCAGCTCCTCTTCCCCTGCAAGGAGCAGCCAGGGCTGGGTCAGACCTGCCCCAGAAGCTGCCCCCACCTGCAGGAAGCTCTGCACCCCTCGGCTTAGTGACCCCATTGCTCCTCAGCTGTGGGGGGAGGGGTCACTGTATGTGTAGCTGCTCCCCCATCTGCCCAACCCCGGCGCATCCAGGCTCCTCCCACATCCAGACCACCCCTGCTGAGCCTCAGCGTCCCCCCTTGCACCCAGAACCCTCCCACCAAGACCCCAACACCCAGAACCCCCACTCTGCTGAGCCCCACGCCTCCTGCCTCTGGACCCCTCCCCCACCCTCACCCCACAGAGCCCCAACCAGCTGCACCTGGACCCCCATCCCACAAGCCCCACTCCTCCAGCAACCGGACAACCCTGCTAAGCCCCCCACACCAAGTCCCGATCATCTTTACCTGGGCTTCTCCCCCCCCCCCCCCCCCGAGTCCCATTGCCCCTGCACCCAGAACACCCCGAACGAGCCCCTGTGCATCCAGCCCCCCCCCCCCCCCCCCCCCGCTCCCCCCCCCCCTGCACCCTGCCCCCCCCCCCCCCCCCCCGCCCCCCCCCCCCCCGCACCCAGACTGACCCACACAGAACCCTCTCACCCCGCACCTGGATCCCCCACATTAGGCCGCTCCACCCTTGAATCCTGCCAGGCTGAGCCTTCTGTCCCCACCTGGTGCACCTGACACAGAGAGGCAGGGCCCCAGGGTGTTTCTGGGGCAGGCCGGGCCCTTGCACTGTGGCAGGGTTGGGTGTGGCCTCCTCATTGAGTCCCTGTCCTGGGGGGTGGGGGGCTGCAGAAATCTCCCACCTCCGTGCAGCCAGTGGTCTGGGCTCCCCCTGCCATGTTGGAGCCTCCACATTTATTGACAAAATTTGCAGAATTTTAAAATATTGTCTGAATTTTTAATTGGTTGGTGCAGCATTCCCTCCGGAGTACAAACAGCAGGGAGAGGGTTAAACAAAACAACCTGAAGTCCCTCCCTGAAACTTAACCCCTTCGCTGCAAAGAAAGTCACCTCTGAGCAATCCCTGGAAATGTTTCGAGTTCCTGGGTTGGGGGAAGGGGTCTATTTCTGCAGGAGTCAAAGGGCAGGTTTCTGGTTTAACACTTGTTTTATATAATCCATGAGGAAGAGGAACTAGGTGAGGATCTGGGGAAATGAGAGGAAGTTACTTGGGCTGGTGGGGCACGTCCTGATGGAATCTCAACCCACCACATGTTTGCGTTAATTTTAAGATACATGGCGGTAGTCCCAGACGCCAACCAGGTCACAGTCCCCACCAAGGTAGGTGATATGCAAGGTGTGCAGTGAAGCAAACAAGACAGGTGGGAGCAAGGGAAGGGTATGCCCGGCCCATCCATTCCCTTACAGCCAAGTTAACTGCACTTTCATGTGCGACTACAGAAGGCGAGAGGCACATCTCTGGAGTAGGGAACCTCAGTCCAGAAGGCAGCACAGCGCGAATATTGAGTGCATCACTTCTGTTACTGATTTTGTGGCAGCAGGTACATTAGGCAGAGGCACAAGCAGAGAGGCTGCCAGACCTGCTGGGCTCTGCCAATGCCACCTTGAAGACAAGGGGCACTCAGATCCATTCAGTTCTGACAGCCCCTCTGAGCGGGTTTCCCTCCTCACCCATCTTGTGTATCAAAGCATCAGATCCCCTGGAATCTGCAGCCTGACCCCAGAGCTCACTATACTGGAGTGGGTTGTGGGAGCAGTGAGCGCCCCTTCTAATAACCCCAGCAAGCACCACTCGGACTCCGCTCCCAGCTGCTAGATCCTCCTGCACCCCACTGATCCCCTGCAGCGATGTGTGGGGCTGTACGTTATAGTGAGGCTCACACTGAATGAAACTAGTTTGTAATCGCACATACTGGACACTGGACAAGTTTAACTGGGGAGCCTTCCCCTTGGAGATTCCTGAGCCCTGGGTTAAATTCCCTGCAACACCACTGCAGTGATGGGGGCTTCCCCCCACAGCACCTCCCCACAGCTGAATAAAGCTCGTCCCAGCGATGCTGTAGCCCCTGCCAGCCCTGCTGTGGGGACAACCAGGGGGAGGGGAGGCAGGAAGGCCAGACCGGTAACCTCAGAGCATTGAGCTGCAGACAAGTTACGGTGAAGCTTAGACACGGGATCTGTGTCAGTCCATCAACCCAAACGGGTGTGAAGAGAGAGTCCCCGAGTATTAAAAAGCAGCAACACAGGGGGGTTGGAATCTAGAAAAGAGCGATTGTCGTGTTCACTGCCCTGGACAACAGGGACTCAGGAGATCTGGATTCAATTCCAAACTCTGCCAGACTCCCTGTGTGACCATGGGCGAGCCACTTGGGCCTGGATCCACAAAGGGACTGAGGTGTTTGAGGTTCAGCATCGCAACATCGAACTTTTACACATCTAGGAAACCCTGGAACAACAACGGGACCCACCAGGCCTGAGCTGGGTGCCCAGGTGCCCCACGCAGTGAATGGGGAGGGAGAGGTGCCTAAGAACGGGATCCACAACAGCCAGCGCGCTAGACAGGGGCTGCCCAGGCCAGCCAATAGGAGACAGTGACCAGGCCTGTGCCCTACGCCCCGCCCCCCTCAGAGCTCAGCACCTCAGCCCTGGCTGCAGGGAGGGGCCCAGCCCTGCTAACAACCTGCAGCGGGACCCCCCGCCCTGGAGTCAGGTGCCTGAACCACTTCTTGTGAGAGCGAGTGCAGCAAGTGCATAAATCCACTGAAAATGCCTGGGGGAGGAGGGGGGCGAGGGGGAAGAGAAGATGACCTCCCAGATACCTTTAACTCACTGGTTAGGGTTTCTAACCCTGGATGTGAGACCCTGCTTCAGTCCCCCTCTCCCTGGTGAGCAGGGATTTGAGAGCAGGGGGGGTTCCACCTCTCAGGTGGATGCCCTAATCATGAGATTACAGAGGGATTCTAACTCTGACCCAATTAACATTTAATTAAATAATCAAAGTGGAACAACTTCAATGGGAAATATTGAGGGATTCCATCCATCAGACTGTCCCAGAGATCAGTGGCTGGGCACTCACCTGGGAAGTGGGAGACCCCTGTTCAGATCCTGTCTCACTTCAGAAAGGGGGGGGACCAGAACCTCAGTCTCTCACATCCCAGGGGGTGCCCTAACCACTGGGGCAGGGTTAAGGGTGGGGGGTCTCCTTGCCAAAAACCTGTTTCACAGAGGCAGGCAGCCTAAGCACACCTGCCAGATCCTGCCCCACGGATACGACAGGCCTCTGGGTGCCGAGAGCCCAGCAGCGGCACACGCCCAGACGCAGGAACGGAAGCACGGAGGGAACTTCTACAGCAAAAGCATCATCCTCGGGTGATCTCGGGTACCCCCAGGTTCAGTGGCAGCTGGACAGGGATTTGGAGGATCACAGGGGTTCCTGACAGGGGAACTTCGACCCTTTAGTGCCCTTTGTGGAACTGGGCCACGGTGCCTTGGCTCCCGCCACCATAAAATGGGGACAAGGACACATCCCTGCCTCACAGGGGCTGTGAGCAGAAATCTGCTAGCGTCTGTGATGCTCTCAGGTACCACAGTGATGGGGGGAGGCATGAAAGAACCTAGAGAGACTCCTGTCTGACCTGACTGCTAAAGCAGAGAGGCCAGGGAGAGAGGACGTGGAACTGTGAGCCACAAAGGGAAAAACTCCCCCACACCCAGAGACTGAATCATCAGGGGGCAGGAACTTACCTCCCAAAGCTGCTGCTAAAGCAATGATGATCACCACCAAGACCCCGACTATGGCACTGAACACAGCTCGGCCTTTAGATATAGCCGCTTTCCTGAAGTTGCCGTTAGCTGGATCATCTGGAAGATAAAAACCCGTTAATGCTCCTGGGGCTACAGAGACCAGAACTGTTTGCCATCAGGCTCTGATCTGACACACACCAGCTATTTATTTTGTCTTAAATGGTTCTGTCCCAGCTCTGGACACAAATATTAACTTGAACTCCCATCCAGACTGCGAAGGAGAACATCACGCCCCAAATCACCACTGTGTGGTTAATTAGCTCAATTAATCCCCAGAAAGGACCCTGCAGAATTCAAAGGGATTCAGAGGAGGGTGGAGGATGATCAAGGGACTGGAAAATCCATGACAAGAGTCTGAAAAGCCTGTGATTGTTCGCCATGGAGAGGAGGTGAATGAGGGGGGACAGGATGAACAGTCTATACAATAACAGATGGGACAGAAGGCAGACTGGAAGCTTTTGTTGGTAAAGCTGTGGCAGTCCCTGCACACCCCCTTATGGCCTGGTGTGGCACTGTGGGTGCACCCGTCCTTAATTTCCCTTGATTGGCAGCAGTACATTTGCTTTAACAGCCCAAGGCAAGGAGAAGCCAACACTCATTAACAAAACAGCACGTCCCTTTTTAATAAAGCTTCAGGACAGGAGCAATTTCAACCAACAGTTCATATGCTCTTCACCTCAGGACCTGGGTCAGGGATCCCAAAGTTAACATCCATAAAACCAAGTCTCAGGCTGATTAGGTTGGTCTCCTAGAGCCTGCGAGAAACCATCACCTGCTGCAGCCTGACTGGCTTCTACTCCCCTCTCTCCTTCAGCTCCCTCTTCAAATAGCCCAGGCCTATGGTGTGGCAGGGCTGCCTTGAGTACACCTGTGCCAGATGTAGCCTCCTGCCTGTCCCTTAAAGGGGTAATTATCCCCTTCCCATTGTTCTCCTTGTCTCATAACACAAGAACAAGGGGATATTCAATGAGATTAAAAAGGTGGGAAAGGAACTATTATTTCCAGCCAATGTATAATTAGACTGTGGAAACCCACTGCCACAGGAAATTGGTAAAAAGATTTTAGGAAAGTTAAAAAAGGGATTGAGCATTTATATGGTTAACATGAATATCCAGAGTTGTCATAATTAACAACCAAAGGTTGGCAGGAACGTTGGAAGAGCGCCTGCGTCCCAGGGAGAGTGAATCCAGGGAACCCCTGCTGGAGTTCAATCTTCGCAAATCCTCTTCCCTAGTGCCCAGAGCCACATCTGAGGGCATGATACATGCACTGGCAAAACACAAATGAATGTGCTGTGGCCACAGGCAACTACACCTGCTCCTGGCCATGCACGAAGGCAGGGAGGCAGGGCTCTGCATGGGTTATGAGTGTAAACAGAAGGCAAGAGCAGTGACAGGAGTGACCCAGGGAGATGGGAGCCAAACGTTTTCAAGGGGATAGAACACGTACAGTATTAAAAACCGTATGTGCAACTGCCACACAAGAGAGCATGTGCAGCACAAGCTGAGTCCATTAGAGCAATACAGCCTCTGCTGCACTGGGGGCTGGTGGGGGGGGGAAGAGAAGGAAAGGCAGCATCTCTCTCCAGCTTGTTCCTAGGCAGGGAAGCTCCAGTTACCTCGTTCTCCTCCACTCTTCAAGTCTATTGAGCTGTTAAGAGGCTGTTCAGGGGGATCTGCTTCCACTCCCTCCCGCATCTCTCCTTGCAGTGAGGCAGCCGTGGGTGCTGGACTCTGATCAACTTGGAGCCAGCTGCAAGAAATGGCTCCACACAGCCATGGCAGAGTCAACTCCAGTCAACTGCAGTGTCCCTGGCTTTGGCTCCTCTCCCAGCTGCCCTAGAATGTGAAATGACAGAGTCAGGACAGTATAAGGGTCAGTGGGTTTGTTTGTGGTGTCCCATCCTCCATTCATCAGAACAAAAGCCCAGAGTTCAAATAGTGCAGTAACCAACCCCCTCCTGTGTCATCAGGCCCCTCATTGAAGATTCCCCATTTCCTCTCACTCCTCAATTGGGAGTTGGGCAGGAGAGGGACACACGGACGCTGGGTGTGGGGTGAAAGCCAGGGATGTGCACATGCCTTTTATGTCTGGAGTGTCCGGGCACACAATGCAGAACTGCACTGGCAACTCTGGGAAGTTGGGGGGGGGGGTGAATTTGAGATGCAGCTTTGGGAGGGGCACAGACACAGCACCTTGGAAGGACTCTAAGGGACACAGTCTCCCCCTCCCCCCAGTTGGATAAAAATCAGTGGTTTAAAATTTGATTTTTTTCTTTAAATAAATACTGTCTTAAAATTAAACTTGAAATAATGACCTAAACCTACTATAATCCATTAAAATCATTTACGTTAAATGAAAAAGAATAATAATCAAGCAGAACATGTTTGCTGATGAAGTCTTGAAGAAAATCAGGCCACTGAACTGGTGCCAGTCACTGGCTAAGCAGCAGTCACAGAGTTTGTTAAAGCAGCTTTGGACAGCAATAGCCTCTTGCACAGGTGCAGAGACTATTCTCTTCATTTCAGTTTATTCAAGGTAAGAAACCGACTGGGAGTTGAAAAAGCAGGAAAGCTTGTTTTGCTCGTCCAATCTATGGATGAAAACTAGGTGTGAGAAGGGGAGCTCTATAGCCGTGGTTCTCAACCTGCGGCCCAATCAGCACACAGGTGCAGCGCATGTGACACCTCAGGGCCATACAGGTAGTATTGGATGCGACCCACAATGGTACATAGGTTGAGAACCACTGCTCGAAATTCCTAACGAACATGGAGCGGGAGCCACAAAGGACTCAGGCATTGCATCACAGCTCCTAGCTTTTAGGTGGCGAGAAAATCCAAGAAACACCATTGTGATCCACAAAGCTGATTTAGGCACATAGGCTCCTATAAAATGAATGGGGAGCCAGCACTTAGGTGGGGTCTGGGAGCCACCTAAGCCAACCAATGGGAGATATTGACCAGTGGGGTGTGTCCTAAACCCTGCCCCTCTCTCAGCAATAGGCACCTAAATCCAGACCACAGGGAGACTATTGACCACTAAAGCCAGAGAAAGAGGAGATGCCACCTTATAACTTCTAGTTCAGTGGTTAGGTCACCACCTGGGACGTCCAGATGACTCACATGAGGCAGCAGTGCATATCCTCAAAGGCTAAAACAGACACCTAGAGAACTTTTACTCTCATAAACTTAGGCACCTAAACTCCCTTGGCACCTATCGGGTTCCTCAGAGTTTTGTGGATTGCAGCGGAGCCGAAACTGGGATTTAGGCATCTAAGTACTTTTGCTGATCCCACCCATGGTGACTAGAAACAATCAGTTCAATTCACTAACTACGGGTAATTATTACCTTGTTATTTATTGATCTCATCATAGCAGCTAGGATCCCTGGTCATGGCCAGGATACATGACTTTAAGTAATCAGTTTTGAGTGTAAAGCATGTTCTGATAACCTTTTTTCCCTTATGGATCCAGCATATTTAAGGTATTTTTATTTAAAAATTTTAAATGCTGAATTTTCAAACGTAATTGAATTCTGATTTCCATCCAAATAAAGCTTGACCAAAAAAATCAGCCTCCCTTTAGGAAAAGTAACTAAAAAGTAAAAATGGCAAACTAGATGAAAAGTGGCAGTTTAAGTGGAAGTACCTGCTTGCTGCTTTAAATCATGCTGAACAGTGGAAATTTATCCCTCCTCCCACCCATATACTGACAGCTCTGCGGGGTGGGGCTCTGCATGGGGATGGGGGGGGTTACTTCCCCCAGGCACTGACACCGCTAGGGGCCAGGGA